TGTCGCAGCTTAAAACGCATTGGTTCCCTGAGGAGGAAACTGACAAAGAGCGGAGTGAACAGGAGGGCAACCAAGACTGCCAGGGGCAGAGGTTGCCACCACACACAGGGGAGTGAAGGACGCATTTGAATAAAGCTGTAAGGGAGGTCAGGGGTGAGCACGTGGCTGTGTGGGGAAGGGTGCAAACGCCCTGCAGTGGGAGCTTGGGGCACAGCAGGGAGGCCTGTGAGGCAGGCATGGGGTGAGAGACAAGGAGATGAGGTCAAGAGCTGAGCATGTGTGTGAAGGCTGATGGAAGTAACGGGGGAAGTGCACCATGCAGGGGACCAGAGCCAGGAGCAGCTGCCATGCAACAGGCACTGTCCAGCCGCCGGACGCTCGTTAGTTCATCCGTTTGCACAACCACCCTGAAAGGCTTGTTCTTTGTTCACTGCATGCCTGTTTCATGCACAAGGAAACTGAGCAGATTAAGTAAGCTGTCCAAGGTCATAAACCTCAGTAATCGGTAGTGGTAGGATTCAAATGCAGAATTCAAACCCAAGCAGCCTAGCTCCAGACATGGTGCCTTTAACCCCAGAGCTGACCGCCTCCCCAGCCAACGGTGTGGATGAACGAGGTGAAGGAGGAGCATGTGACGGCACAGCAGTCCTCGGAGAGGGCTAAAAGGAGGAGGAGGAGAAGGAAGCAAGAACTAAGCAGGTCTGTAATGAGAGCAGGAGACATGATGCAAAAGAAAAGACTAGCAGAGCAGGCAAGGAACAGAGAGCCAGGTACACAGCCGCTTGGGCCAAAGGGGCCTGACCACACTCACAAGGGAAGTGGGAACTGCAGACCCAGCAGGGGCCATGCAAGGGGCCAGCAAGAGATGAGTTCATGGGGCTGTAACTATTCCCTCCACTGTGGTCCTCAAAAAGCACTGACAGCTGGCAAAGTGTCCCCTCTTCCTAAAAGTTAAAGAGCAAGAAACATTTCGTACGGCATGAACAGTAAAGCAAAGTCTGAGCATGAATCAAGACACAAAACTTCTACTTTCCACTTTAAATTTGAGTGTTTGAAACAAGAACCCTTTCTGTCTCTACTAGGTGAAAACATAATAACAGCTAACAGATTTATCTTGCTTGTGGAATAAATATCAGACACTTATAGAAACTTTGTGCATATAATCTCATTTCACAATCAAAGCACTAGGATAAAGCTGGTTTATCCTCATTCACAAATGAGGAAACTGAGGCTCAGAGAGTCTGGGTCACTCACTAAGGCAGGTGCTTATGGGGACGGAAGTGTGCAGACTAAGCACTGCCCATCACTAAGCCAACACTGCCCAGGACAGAGTGACCATAACCACATCCCACAGCGACCCCTTTGCTCCAGCCTGCAGCCGGGCTAGGCTTCACAAGCAGCGCAGACACGTGGAAGCCAGTGCTATTGTAGACCTGGGCTCCTGATCCTCTCCCGTTTGAGAAGTCAGGCTCACAGGAACGCTGCAGTCTGTTTCATGTGCCCGGCCACAGGGAGGGGTGCTCTCACGGGAATGTCCATCACGTGCATAAGGGAAGCACAGGCTACTGCAGACTCTAATTCCACACACTCAGAAACCCTGGGGATCTGCTCAGCTGGCTGTCTGAGCTTCAGGATAAAAGTCACTGCAAGGGGTTTTGTGGAGAATCTCAACGTCCAGAACAGAATCACTTCAGCTCCTTCTGAGTATTCCTCACTATGCACGATACCTCCCAGGGGCTCAGTCGTTCAAGAAAAGCCCAGTGGATACTGGTCACGTTTTTGGCCACTCAGCATTTTTGGGACACATTTCCTACAATCTAGAATTTTCCACATTTTTCCCCTGACAGAAGCTCAAACCTGCTCGGCTGTAACTATGGTACAGGCAGACGCCAAAGACACCCACCCAGACTGACTCAGGAGCTAGTGACACAGGAAGAGGGGGCAGGAAGATCATTTTCTTTGGCTGATACTGAAGGTGAAGCTCCAACACTCTGGGCACCTGATGCAAAGAGCTGACTCAGTGGACAAGATCCTGATGATGGAGAAGACTAAAGGAGGAGGAAAAGGGGATAACAGAGGATGAGATGGTTGGATGGCATCACCGACTTGATGGACATGAGTTTGAGCAAGCTCCAGGAGTGGGTGATGGACAGGAAAGCCTGGCGTGCTGCAGTCCATGGGGTCACAAAGAGTCAGACATGACTGAGCAACTGAACTGAACTGATATGCTAGAAATGAACAGTCCTTTTAAAAATTCCAGTCCTTCTCAACAAGTTTTCTTCCTCTCTTACCCAACTGCATCCTGCATATTGATACAGGAAAATCCCTAGCCCTCGTAAATGCTCGTGTGCAGTATGCACAAAGAAAAGATGGTAAGAACAACTAATGCATCAGCTATAACTGTGCACATGTGGAAAGAAGACAGAAAGGAATAACAGGAAACACAAACACAATACCAGACACAAGAAGCTCGGAAAGCAATAATTATATTAACAATTTCCTACCAGCTGGCTTAGAAATCTCAAAGCACTGAAACAGCTATCTACCATTTGGAAATAAAATGTCCTCCTAGTTTGCAGAAATACCACCATTACTTCCCAATGTCCTTGAGGCCCTGCTTAAGAGAATTCATCATGAAAGAGTCTAGAATGAGCAAGACCTACCTTACCTCAGCATGCGGTCCTAGACACTCCAAGCTGGTCAGCCTATATTTCTGTTCATGAGAAAGGATTCAAGATTATGTCTGGGTCACCTTAGAGACATCTCCTAGTCCCCAAAATGCACTTCATCCAACAGATATTTTTTGAGTATCACTTATGTTCTATATACTCTATGCTGGGAGTACAGCAGAGAGTAACAGATTATCCCTCTTCTTAAGAAGCCAAAAATCACTTAGAGTTCCAATAGCACTGAATTTGTACTGAATCTGGGGCCTCCGCAAGATGAGAGAGCTTCAGGTAGAAAAGAAGAAGGCAAATGTACAAACGCCCTGTGTTCCCCTGGGAGAAACAGAGAAGGACTAAGAGAGGTGAGATAAGGGAGGTAGGGGGGGAGGGAGGGATATGTGTTCCCCTGGGAGAAACAGACATAGACTAAGAGAGACATGATAAGGAAGGAGGGAGGGAGGGAGGGAGGGAGGGATATGTGCTCCCCTGGGAGAAACAGACATAGACTAAGAGAGGCAAGATAAGGAAGGAGGGAGGGAGGGAGGGAAGAGACATAAATTAAAAGGACAAACTGAGGCATAAGATATGACACATGGAAAAAATGTTCTTCCTGTAAGATCTAAAGTTTTCACCTGGAGATGGGATAAGATATCATGGCCTAATCTGGAATTACAATGTTTGAATCATTGAACACTTCCAAGACTCACAATTGTCCCCTGCTGTTTTTCAAACACTTGACAAGTATCTCTTGAATTTGGAAGAATACCCCTTACATGATCTTCACCTTGACTATCTGACAAAATAGAGGAATTGAAACAGATCCTTCAATTTTAAAATAGCCTAAGTGACATATGCTTTGTGACATGGTTTAAAACACTCATCTCTTTCTATTCATCAATTGAAATATCAAAGAATTCTCCTAAAAATGAGAATCTCAAATGATTACCCATTTCAGCAGACTTCGAGTATGAAGCTTCCATAACTCATCCAGTGTCTTGGTCAAAATGATGAGTTACAGACTTCTACTTGGGGGGACACCATCCTCTAAGTAAACAAGTTCATACCATAAGTTGTTGACATGACCCATGGCTCCAGAGGTGGACATGAGACTATAAAGGCACAATTTATGTATTCATTCCCGTGGTCACACTATTTAAGATCTTAGCACATGATCAGATAGTTCTTGGCACAGGATTTTTTTTTTTTACACAGTTTTTTTTTCCATTTATTTTTATTAGTTGGAGGCTAATTACTTTACAATATTGTAGTGGGTTTTGTCATACATTGACATGAATCAGTCATGGATTTACATGTATTTCCCATCCCGATCCCCCCTCCCACCTCCCTCTCTACCCGATCCCTCTGGGTCTTCCCAGTGCACCAGGCCCGAGCACTTGTCTCATGGCATAGGATTTTGTATAACAACAGGGAACCTAGAATTGCTTAAGCTAGTAGAATATGAATATGAGGTTCTGGTAGCTTCCACATTGAACAACTTGCCTCAGAAGGCAACCAACAAAAGGAAAGCAGAGCCAAGATCTAGAGAGACAAAGCTGAATGGCACCAAGCATCTGGATCCAGCCATACCTAAGGCCAACTACCCCTGAGAGTTTTCAATAGTGCAAAATAAAACAAAATTGTTTCCCCCTGAGTCAACTTGGTAAGAATCCAGGTGGTACGTTTCCTGTATGTTACTTCTTATTTCCCATAACACACAGCCAACTTAGTCATACACACAACCAATACCCCGCCCAACTTTGCCTTGTAGCTAGTATGAACATAAATTGTTATTTTGCAGGTCGCATTGGAATGACTCCATCTCTGAAGTCTTTTAAAAGGGCAGCTAACCTCTGTGATACTGACCATCACATATCATATCTAACATGTCAGCTCCCTTTTTGGCCACTAGGATTTCACAGACAGGCAGCTCAACTGCAAATAACAGCTCATCTTCATGCACATCCTTCTAGAGCCAAATAAATGTCAGGTTTTCTGAATTCTGCCTCCCTATCCCCATGGAATATAGATTCCTGGAAAGCTTTCATCATATCTCAGATTAAATGAAGAATGTTAGGTGAAATGCAGAAGAGCCTCATATCACAGATCATATTCACTGGAGGAAACATAACTCTTCAACACATGATTTTTTTTTTCCTCTCCAAATGAACTTGGAACAATTATCACCTATTCATAAATCTCTAAGTTGGATTTTTAAGTTGTTTTTAATCAATGGCTGACTGTAATTTTGTGAAAGTTTCTCCAATGGCACAAATACTGTTGTGTCCCAGAGGAACTGCAGAGCTAATCAATCAATCTTACAGAACAAGTACTCACTGTGAAAATAATGTCCTTGACCGAACAATGAACTTGAATACATATTCCAAAGCTTTCAGTGTTCTTAGGATTGGTTCACATTGCTCTCCTCTGCTGGAGGTGTCCAAGTAAGTCTTCAGCACCGTCATCAATTTCCTGAATAAGGAATTACATTTTCAAAATACATCTCTTTTCAGCCCACAGCATGGTAATTAGTTTGCTTAGTAAATTACAAGGCATTCAATCAAAGGTTAAAGGTGGTAGTATAGACAAGCTCACTCACTCATTTACATCATAAAAATAACTCTGCTTAAAAATATACATTTAATACAGGGAATGAATAAATATTTCCTGCCCATAAAAAGCCAGCAAAGAAAAAAAATCCAATGGGGAAAAAAAAGCTTTTCACTGGGAAAACCAGCCACAATGAAGTTGTGAGTGGGGATGGTGGTGGTTATGATGTTCTTTTCAGTTTTTTCTTCCCACAGAAAATGTTCTTTTAATATCATGGAGCTCCTTTGCTTGGGAATTTCCTTTGTTTCTTTATTACCAGCAGGGTAGACTTGGAACTATGTGGCCTGCTTTTCCAGGCTCCTTCACCTTTTCAAGCATCATCTCTGATCTCTAGCCTTCAGCCCTCTATATATAAGCAATACTGAGTCACTTGCATATACACTTTCTTTTTTCTAGCCTTGACTATCACAAATAGTTGTTCAATAAATGATAGCTAACTGAATGAATGAATGAATAAGCAAACACTGCCATGTACTTCTGCCACCATAAAATATTCATACCAACCTATGAGTTTGCATACTTTTATTTAATCCAAATAACACAGGCCAAATGGGGTTTTGTCAGAAAATGTAGAACTCACACAGTCTGGTGACAAAAGGAAACTATTCAAGTTTCTTGTGACCTAGGCACCCTGGCAAGATAAGTAGAGGGTTCACAGTTACTTACTTGTAAGCTAGGGTAGCACTGAAATGCTGTTGAATGTAAGCCTCCAGGACAGTGTTGAAATGCTGGAACTTCCGGTCAGCAATGAGACCTATTATGTAGATCTTCAGAAAGAGGCAAGGAGTCAGTGTTTGGGGGCAGACCCAGGACAGGAAGTCATATTCACATAGTACAACTAAATGCCTATCAAATTCTTTTGCCCAGGAATTAGTTCACTAACGTATCTTTAGTCCTTTACATTATGGTAGCATCTCTTCTAAAAAGGGTTTCATAAGATAAAAGGGTTTCACAGCCAGACAAGTTTGAGAAATCTCAAGTTATCAATCTTAGACTACCTTCTTTATTGCAGGACTTATCAGCGCTTTCTACATGCTTTTGTGCACTGTAAATCTCCAAGAGAGTTGGGCAAGGTTCAGCACTTCCCTGCGTTTTCAAGTGAGTGTTCTTCAGGAAACATTTCTCCTTAAGGCTAGCTTTGTAGGAAGCCCCCTTGGGAAGCAATGGACTAAGTCACAGTTGTCTCCAAGTCAGTCCTTTAAAAATGTAAATGTCGCTGTCACAAAAGGTTGACACATTCATACTTTGTTGGTCACTGACATCTTAATGTGGATGTTTCTTAAGTTTATTTTGACATGACACTGAAAAGATATGAGCTGGGACAGCAAGAAGAGGCAAAGACCATTTCAAACGATGGTAAGAAGACAGATCTGAATGGTGTACCACCCACTGAAAGATGGTCTAGATAGGCAGAGGAGTGTACTGACTGCTAAACTGGAGGCAATGAGGAGGAAGAAAGTAAAAGTTAGGAAACATCTGGGGTGCTCTACAACCTGACCAAGGATTCGCGCCCAGAATTCACGGACAGCCCAAGCGAATATTCATGATATTCGGCTTTATGTATTTTCAACCAGGGCCAAACCACCATCAACATTTGAACACTCCCATTTTAATCCCTCTGCCCATGCTTTCAAATCAACTCAAAACTAACAAGGGAAATAGGAACTCCTTTATTGGCCTGGTCGCTGAATGTTACCATGCCTCCAAAAAAATTCATGGAAAAGTCCACGTGGGCCATAGTTCTCCATGGTCTCACAGTGAGACACAATATTAACGCCCCTAATGTCACAAAACACTGGCCCCCTCTCTCTTACCAAAGCATCAAAGACGAGGATGTCATACTCATTACTTTGAGAATGCTCCATCATGATGTTGAAGAGTGCATCCAGAGTATCCTGGAGAAACTGGGCAAAATAACAGAGGTCTCATAAGAAAGGTTCAGGTGATGCAGAAGTCCCACCCCTCTGTGTTTACCCAAGAGAATATAGGCACACACCATGTGCCATGTTCAGGAGGGTCAGGTGCATTCCTCACAAGAGCCAGAAATTGGAGCAAGTCAGCTGTCCATCTTCAGCAAAGTAGATAAATACAGGGTGGTACTTTGGTGTTACAGAACATGCCACAGCAATAAAAGTGAGCAAACTACTTCTATGTAGAAAGATGGCTATAACTCTTGTGAGCATTTTACAGAGTGAGATAAGTCAGATGCAAAATGTATGTTTATTATCACTCTATTTTTATGAAATTCAATAACAGGCAAAAACCCATCTATGATGATGGTAGTCAGCTTGGTAGCTTAGCATTTACCCTTGAATGGGTTACTGACTAAGAAGGGGTAAGGGAGAATCTACTGCGCTGATACAAATGGACTCTATGTTGATCTAGGTGGTGGGTACACAGTTGTGTGGTTGTTGCTATTCAGTTGCTCAGTTGTGTTAAATACGTTGTGACCCCATGGACTGCAGCATGCCAGGCTTCCCTGTCTTTCACCATTACCCAGAGCTTGTTCAAACTCATGGCCATTGAGTCAGTGATGATATCCAACCATCTCATCCTCTGTCGTTCCCTTCTCCTCCCACCTTCAATCTTTCCCAGCATCAGAATCTTTTCTAATGAGTCAGTTCTTCATATCAGGTGGCCAAAATATTGGAGTTTCAGCTTCAGCATCAGTCCTTCCAATGAATATTCACGACTGATTTCCTTTAGGATTGACTGGTTTGATCTTGCTGTCCAAGAGACTCTCGATACACACATTGATAATGATCTTAAAATGTAAATGGCCAAGACACACCTATTAAAAGATAAGGACTTCATGTTGGTCCAGTGGCCAAGACTNTTGTGATTCACACAGTCAAAGGTTTTAGCGTAGTCAATGAAGCAGAAATAGCAGAAGTAGTTTTTCTGGAATTCTCTTGCTTTTTCTATGATCCAGCAGATGTTGGCAATTTGATCTCTGGTTCCTCTGCAGTTATGTACATGTGTAAAAATACACTGAACTGTACTTTTAAGATAAGTGCTCTGTATTCTTAAGATTCGTAGAGTATATGTCTTTTGATAAAAAGAAAAACAGAATGCAAAGGAAGACAACAGAACTCCCTTTGAGATGACTTTTCCAGCTGCCTAAAGGTGACAGACCTTGTAAAAGAATGTCTGGAGAATTTCTCTACCATTGCTGATCTGGGTAGGTGGGTCAATGGTGCACAATTAAAGCATTGATCTTGAAATTCAAACCTTGCTTCTCCTTCTATGGGCAATTAAATGAAACTTGATACTCCCCCCAAGACATGTGTCGATATTTCCTACAGTCAAAACACAGAGCTACTACATAAAGATGTTCAGAGTTTCCAACTGTACCGAGTTCCTGAAAGAAACAAGATCACCAGGAAACACTTGTCCCAATTCATGATGCTGGAGAGAGGGTTGCTTTAATTAGATTTGTACTTCAGACACTATATTCTCCACCACCATGTGGACACAACAAAACATCTAACATCTGCATTGTTTTCTGCTTGTTTCACTTAAAATGTGAGCATTGATGGTCTTTCCTTTTCTCATGTTTAACACGTAACATTATCAAAGAAGTGGAAACAAGAATACTTTTTATTTCTAACAGCAACATGTAGATAATACTGAGAGATCACACTACTATAGCAACTTATAACAACAAAAGTAAATATTTACTCCTTGTTTAACCTTATATGTTTCATACGCTTTAGTTCAATTATTGTACATTGTGTGTAAGAGACTTGCTGAGTAAGTTTTAAATATTTTTCATCTTGAAAGCTCATAACAACTCTGCCAAATACGTCATATTGATAATAGTACCACATGAAGTTGGCTAGTGTTGGAGCTGGGATCTATACCAAAGTTCATCTATTTCCAGAAACTGAGCACAGCCATACTTTTCTCCTGCTCAACATTCAGTGTCACTGAATCACATCATTCCCCAGCTTTATCAATAAAGGCTTCTAATGCCAACTTGGGACACTGTCTCCCATTGTCAGAAGAAAATGTGTCCTGTCTTCCTGAACACTTTATCTCTTCCTGGAAGCCACTCATGAGTTAAAGGTCTGTCCCTGGTGGATGAAAACAGGCAAAATGAAGTCCCACTTACCTTTACCACTTCTTCTCCATCAACAATCTTCAATTTTTCTAAATTCTCCTGTAGCAGCTGTGGCTTCATACGCCACTTAAGCAAACCCAGCAAGCCCACTGAAACAGAGTCCAGACAAGCAGAATTACTACTTACTGGCCTGAACTGTCCGTATCAGGGCCTCCCCGGGCCTGACCACACATACGCACACACACACACACACACACACGGACACACACGCAGAGCTCCCAGCGGTTCCAGTACCATTCTGGGTGAGCTTTGTGGAGCACACCAGTGTGGATATGGAGAAGACATCCCGGGAGCTGACAGACAGCCCCCCAACACTGCTGGAGCTTCGACTCAAGGTGGCCCCCTTGTTCTCCACGTGGTGTCGGTAAGAAGGAAGCGTCAGGTAAGAGCTGGCGTCCTCCATTTTCTTGCTGTCTCCCTGGAAACAACACCGTCGTTACTGCCCCAGCCGAAGGTACACACCCATTGCCACCAGAATCTGCAAGGCCGGAGTGCACGCCGTAGGCGGGGAGGGCCAGGGCGGCGAGGAACGTCATCAGCGGAGCGACGCGCCGCGGCTGGTGACGTAGGGCTATTTCTCCACCAGGCGGGGAGAAGCCAAGGTCACATCAATGGGAAAGGGGTTCAACATTCACAGATTTGAAGGCTCTATAGACTTCATTAATGGCACAGAGGAAATTGAAGAGTCCCAAATAGCATATTTTAGTTCATTCTAAGTTTCATAAGATCTTAATACAAACAAGCCCACCAGCGGGATAAGGAATCAGATTAAAGAGGAAAGGCACTGGATTCTGAAAGTGATGGGATTTAGACCCTATCCTACTATTCACAAGTCTGTGTTATTCTGAATATGTCCCTTTGTCTCTCTGTGTCTCGTTTTTCTCTTGATTAAACTGATTATGAAGCACATTGCCTATGCTTCATAGCAAATTCTAGAAATTTTGGGTGGACTAGATGGCAAAATGCGTACACAAGACTTAGTGAGATGACAGAGACATAAGTCCCTCGCATGCTGAAGTGAATGGCTGGAGGGAGGCTGTGCAGCAGGCACCAGGAGTGAGATGACGGAGACATAAGTCCCTCGCATGCTGAAGTGAATGGCTGGAGGGAGGCTGTGCAGCAGGCACCAGGAGTGAGATGACGGAGACATAAGTCCCTCGCATGCTGAAGTGAATGGCTGGAGGGAGGCTGTGCAGCAGGCACCAGGAGTGAGATGACGGAGACATAAGTCCCTCGCATGCTGAAGTGAATGGCTGGAGGGAGGCTGTGCAGCAGGCACCAGGAGTGAGATGACGGAGACATAAGTCCCTCGCATGCTGAAGTGAATGGCTGGAGGGAGGCTGTGCAGCAGGCACCAGGTGTGGAGCCCTTACTCTGCACTGGGTGCCACAAAAAGTGCTCTTCACGCTTCAGTGGACATCATTTAAGCCTCAGAGCAGCTGTTACTGGTGGGGATACTGGTAGCATCTCCAGTTTACAGATGAGGAGACCAAGGCTTAAGGAAGGTGACCAAACTGAAAACTGACTGCAAATGGTACTATAAATCTATTGAGGAAGAATGGCCTTTAAGCCAAGAACTACCTGGATGCATCACAAATGAGAAAAGAAGCTTACAGAAGAAAAAAAAAGGAGTGTTCTGGAAAAGTCACAGAGACTCAGAGAAGAGTACCATGTGATGAAGATTGGATGAGGCTGTCTTTGCTATCCAGACCAGAGCAAAAGGGCAACCCCAGCCTCCAAGGCTGAGAAAGTCAGGGGCAAGAGTGTGATCTCTGTGATCTCTGTGATCTCTGTCCGCTTAGCCTTGCCCTGATCCACAGCCACACCCTGTGCCTCCAGCCAGGTGCCAACAGAGGCATGCCACTGTCATGAATGGGGCTGTGGGGGAGCATGTAAGTCCAGAAGACACCCCCACTCCCAGAGAACAGTGCAAGTCTCATAATGCAAGAACATAGTGACAGCTACACTCTTCTACATGGTCCTTCTGCATGGGTCATCTTATGGTCATAAACATGACCATAACCGTTTGAAAAAGAAAATAAGTCTCAGGAAGACGCATAAGATGACTCCAGGTTAGTCAACAGCAGGATTAGAACTCTAAATGCTAATATTTTTTTCCATTCACTATAGTGATGAGTCTCTCAAATATTTCTTGCTGGTCTTCTGAACACCCCACAGGTGTCTTACAAAATCAAAGCCCATTCTGTGGGTGACAACCTTCCATTTACTGAGAGTTCCATGCGCCCATCACTGTCATGTTTACATGGAATAACTCTTGTGATTCTCACACTCACTCACTGAGGGCTCACAGATGAGGACACGGAGGCCCAGAGAAGTCCAGACTTTGTACCAGGTCTCACAACTGGAGAGCCCTGATGCGTGTCACTGGGGTCCCTGCTGTCATTTACCAGGCAGTCTTGCCATATCCCCCTCACTTCGTACATGCTCCTTGCTGCAGAGTTGATCTCAGTTCATGGGCTTCCCTGACGGCTCAGCAGGTAAAGAATCCACTGCAATGCAGGAGCTGCACGAGACACTGGTTTGGTCCCTGGGTGGGGAATAACCCCTGGAGGAGGAAATGGTGACCCACTCCAATATTGTTGCCTGAAAAACCCCATGGACAGAGGAGCCTGGCAGGCTACAGTTCACGGGGTCACGAAGGGTAGAACACAGCTGAGCACAGCACAGAGACATGGTACCTTTAGGACAACCAAGTCATGGCATCCATCATGCAGAGTGGTCCCATCTTCCTTCATCAGCTTCACGTAGGACATGGCAAAGTTTTTTTCTCCTTTGTCTTTAGCTAAAAATGGCATTTTTGAGGTTAGGAAAGAAAAGGGTACCTGGGCCACCCACCCACTACCAAAAGGAGTGATCCCACCCCACTGCTCTTAGGGCCGTGGAGATGCCATTTGGTACTCACATTCCAGGGATGACCGATGTCGAAACATGAATCGCAGGTGGATCCGCTGCATGTCTTCAATAGGGACAGCCACCTCAGCAGGCAGAAACCAGAGCTCAGGAGTGACCCACTCCAATATTGTTGCCTGAAAAACCCCATGGACAGAGGAGCCTGGCAGGCTACAGTTCACGGGGTCACGAAGGGTAGAACACAGCTGAGCACAGCACAGAGACATGGTACCTTTAGGACAACCAAGTCATGGCATCCATCATGCAGAGTGGTCCCATCTTCCTTCATCAGCTTCACGTAGGACATGGCAAAGTTTTTTTCTCCTTTGTCTTTAGCTAAAAATGGCATTTTTGAGGTTAGGAAAGAAAAGGGTACCTGGGCCACCCACCCACTACCAAAAGCAGTGATCCCACCCCACTGCTCTTAGGGCCGCGGAGATGCCATTTGGTACTCACATTCCAGGGATGACCGATGTCGAAACATGAATCGCAGGTGGATCCGCTGCATGTCTTCAATAGGGACAGCCACCTCAGCAGGCAGAAACCAGAGCTCAGGAGACAATGAGTTAAATGGCCCTCCCCCCAAAAAAGGCAGCCTGACCATTTAACTGAGAGTGCTGTGTGCTGATACGTCACCCATTCATCAAGCCTGATGAACTGTAAATAAATTACATAAGAACTAGCAATGAAGAGAAAATAAAGTACCAAATGTAATCCATTTGGCAAATTGCATTCCCAGCCAATGAAAAGGGATCCGTAAATTATAGTGAGGAAAAATGAATCTCCCCAAATTGATATAAAAGTCACATAACTTTAGCGCAGGATTTGATGCACTGCAAACTGTACGATGCACATTTTCCTTACACACTCCAGGAGTTCAGGCAATTGCAGCAGGGCTTAGCAAATTAGCAATGCCCATTAGGGGGCTTGCTGGAAGACTGTCATTTATGTAAATTAATAAAAATGTTTGAATCTGATCATATTTGAGACATCCTAGGGTTCATTTCATGGGAATCTTTGGTTAGAGACATGTTCAGATGCTTGTTCCTCCAAGGACACTGGGCCAAGACCATCACCCCTTGGTCACCCAGTTTCACCGTCTAGTGAATGGTCTTTGCTGTATCCTTGATGGAGGTGCTTTCGGCCTGGGTCTGGACTATCCCACCACCCAAAGCTCCACAGCAACCTCTCTATTGTGCATTTCAGGCTTAGCAACCTGTGGGAAATCCACTCAGGCTCTCAGTGGGCACTGCTCCAGAGAATGAAATTTGAGCCCCCTCCAAAATCACTTGTTATGCGTCTCAGAGCAAAAGAACTGAGAGTTACATGGGCAGCTGTTGTTCATTCTTTCACTGCACATTGAATCATTACTACCATTATGTGAGGCACTGGCCAGGCTGACATTAGACAGTGTCCTTGCATCCAAAGAGACCGCAGCCTACACGGGGCAATACATAATTATCACGATGTGATGAGAGCTCACAGATATAACTGGGGTGCATGAGAGCACAGAGAGGAGAAAGCAGCCTGGTCTGATGGTCTCTGAGCCCAGAGATGGGTGGGCCATTTGAAGAGGATGAGTGCAAGGAGACCCGCTGGGAACACGGAAATGCCGCGACAAGGCAAGTACCACTGAGGCCTGAACAGCTCCCCCAACAAGGGGAGCCTGACCATGTCTTCAGTTTGGGTTCAGAGCACAGGGTGAGCAAAAACTGCTACTAATCACAAGACAGAGATATCTGAAGCTGTGATCAAGCTTCACTGTTCACTAAATTAATTCCATACCCTATTTTTAACACACACTATTCCCTTCTGCTATAGCGCGACAATCTGGTAATGCAAATATTTGTGGTTAATGCCATTTCCATCTGGGGTACCCTCTCAGTAGGGGATCTTCCAGGCATTAAATAGCTTTTTACAGCTTCACATTTGCTCCCAAGCTCCATCACTCCTCACTGATGAATAGAAGGACACAGCTTGCTGGCTGGTGCACAGTCTATGAGACCGTCTGACAACTCCAAGGCAAGCAGGTCCTGACCAATGAAGGGTGAGCAAGAGAACTAAGGCACTCACCCACTGGGCCACTCTTTCCACTGCCTGACACACCACCAGACAAAGGATAGGGCATTGTTTCAGGTCTTAGGGAGGTGTCTTAGAGTCCCTAGATTCATGTTTGCAATTATCATTGTTGTTATTGTTTATTATTATTATTATTATTATTACCTTGACTGTTTCCATCCACCGTGGCTGTTTGACTTGATAGTATACAACGGACCGGTATTCATTCATAGGCTTGTCCCCAGCTCCCACACAAATTGCATTCTGACCCAAGAAAAATGAAAAGAGAAAACACTATAGAATTGTCATTTTCTATGCTTGGGCAGTTTTGGGCCAAGGCCAAGGCTGGCCATAGGGCCTGAGATAACCCTTCCTTCTTTAAGCCTTCTGCCAGGTACCCTTCTCCATTACGGATTTACCCATGAATGTGCCTGGCCCTAGGAGTGACAGCTGCTCACTGCAAAGATTCTATCCCTTGCGTTCTGGGAGTCACTGGAGCGCAGTAGGCGCTGACACGGCTGCCCTGTTGTCCCTGGTAACAGGCCTTGGAGTTGCTGCATGCTGCCAGTCTTCTTAATCCTATTTGTTTCCTATATCTGAATTGCACAAAGCTTACAACAGACTCAGGTCAGCCAGGCACCAGCTCTTTCCAATGGATTTCTGATGCTCACACATCAAGGTCCCAGCAGAAGCTGGGCAAGCGGAGGGAGATCAACCTTCAGACAGACACATGGGCAGTGGGGGCTAAGGAAGCCCACAGTGAGGGAGCATCTTCCAGACACCATACCAGGCTAAGCACTGGGATATGGGCATGAGTCAGACAGGAAACCTGACATGAGGGCTCACAGTGTGGTGCAGGAAACATCATATGAGCAGATAAATCACTAGGCAACATGAAGTGATGACAGACACATGTAGCCAGTTCCTTGGTATCCTTGGGAGCTTGATTCCAGGGCCCCCTCTTTCCCATTGCTGATTTTAAAAATCCATAGATGCTCAAGTCTTATATAAAATGATGTAGTACAGTTGACCTTCCTATCTGCAGATGCAGAACCCATAGGTTTAGGTATGGAGGGCTGACTGTGTAATACTATGGAGCACTGAGAAAGGTCACTTCAGTTCTCCCTAAAGACTCAAAGAATATTTCTTAGAGGTAATGACAGTTGAAGACCTCAAAGAAAGATTCCACAGTGGGTTTGAGCAGAAAGGCAGGAAGGATACTCTGAGAGAGTGAGAAAAGAGCAAGCAATATAGGGTATTTATTCTTTGCCATAAAACTCACCCTCACAGTAACAAGGAATTATCTTGCAATAGACTATGCACATGTGTATGCTCAATCGCTTCAGTCATATCTGACTTTTTGTGACCCCATGTACTCTAGTCTGCCAGGCTCCTCTGTCCATGAGATTCTCCAGGCAACAATACTGGAGTGGGGTGCCATGCCCTCTCCCAGGGGATCTTTTCAACCTAGGGATCGAACCCACATTTCTTGCATCTCCTGCAGAGGCAGGCAGATTCTTTACCACTGAGCCACCTGGGAAGCCCTGCAATAGACTATGAAAGTGAAAGTGAAAGTCACTCAGTCCTGTCCGACTCTTTAGGACCCCACAGACTAGGCAGTCCATGGAATTCTCCAGACCACAATACTGGAATGGCTAGCCTTTCCCCTCTCCAGGGAATCTTCCCAATCCAGGGATCGAACCCAGGTCTCCCGCATTTCAGGCAGGTTCTTTACTGGCTGAGCCACAGAGTATGCCAGCCCCAATTCTATATGTGTTCATTCCAATTGTTTGATCCCAAAACAAGATCTAAGGTAGGGTCACCCAGAAGAATCTTGAGGTTGATTTTTAAAACAGAACAAGAGATTTTAACCTCAAGTCTTCAAAGATCTAGGGACATGAGAACTGGTTTTGCAGCCCCAAGCCCCCAAATTGCAAAGTGTGTCTCTGGGCTTTTTATGGTGTAAGGATCCATGCTTCTCACTAGATTCCATCAGATCTCTAGTAGATCCCCTACCAGGCTGAATGACCAAAGCTGGCCACATACTTTCACTTTGGGTCCCCTGGTGAAGCAAGCTAAGCTATGGGAAGTTACAATCCTGTCCCTCTTACTTGAGAGCCTGCTCCATACTTCTGAGCTATCGAGAAAGAATGAGTTTTGTTTCAGTACAGACGGATGCTACCTACAGCCAGATTGAAACCATTTGAAAAGGATATAGCAGCCTTTCAAAACTTATCCCTAAAAAACAAGGACAACCAGGGAACTGCAAGTGAGGGAAGACACGCAACTCTCTTTTCAGTCCAAAACAAGATCTAAGGTAGGGTCACCCAGAAGAATCTTGAGGTTGATTTTTAAAACAGAACAAGAGATTTTAACCTCAAGTCTTCAAAGATCTGGGACATGAGAAATGGTTTTGCAGCCCCAAGCCCCCAAATTGCAAACTGTGTCTCTGGGCTTTTTATGGTGTAAGGATCCATGCTTCTCCCTAGATTCCATCAGATCTCTAGTAGATCCCCTACCAGGCTGAATGACCAAAGCTGGCCACATACTTTCACTTTGGATCCCCTGGTGAAGCAAGCTAAGCTATGGGAAGTTACAATCCTGTCCCTCTTACTTGAGAGCCTGCTCCATACTTCTGAGCTATCGAGAAAGAATGAGTTTTGTTTCAGTACAGACGGATGCTACCTACAGCCAGATTGAAACCATTTGAAAAGGATATAGCAGCCTTTCAAAACTTATCCCTAAAAAACAAGGACAACCAGGGAACTGCAAGTGAGGGAAGACACGCAACTCTCTTTTCAGCAGGATGGATCCTTTCAGAACTTCTTAGGTACTGAACTAAAAATATGCTTCCAAAGTTCTCCTGACCACGTAGAGTGCTATGTGACCAGTGCCATGCTGTGCCTTTTGTACAGACTGCCTCACAATCACCTCTGACAGCTACTGCCATTATCCCCATTGCAAAGCTGAGCAAACTGAAACCCCGAGAGACTAAGTCACCCGCCCCCAAAGGGGCACCCCCAGGACCACATCTCACACCTCTAACCCCTTGTCCAGTGTTCCCGCTATAACAGCCTAGATGCCTTCTACTTCCCAAGATTTATATCTCATGACATTTATGGGCTTAGCATTTCTGTAGCTCCGGTGAATCCCATGTAGCTTATAAAAACTGAAAACATACATATATTTCTGGTGAAAGGAAAACTGCTGCACAGCAGGCAACTGAATCCCACGAAATTATCTTGATGATGAAAATTTCTGATTGCCTAAGGCTGAGGAAAACATTATTTTGAGAAAGACCTATGGCAGTGCCCTCCCCATAGACACTTCAGAGATAAACCTGAATGTCACCAAGTGTATAGAGACAGCATGGTAACCAAAAATGGGACCCAGTTTTAGGGAAAATATAGATCTGTATATGTCTCCAGGGAAAATATAGATCTGTGTATGTTTCCATAAAGGAAGCTGAACACCAAAAAATTGATGCTTTTGAACTGTGGTGTTGGAGAAGCCTCTTGAGAGTCCCTTGGACTGCAAGGAGATCAAGTTACTCCTAAAGGAAATCAATCCTGCGCTGAAGCTGAATCTCTTTGGCCACCTGATGTGAAGAACTGACTCATTTGAAAAGACCCCGATGCTGGGAGAGATTGAAGGCAGGAGAAGGGGATGACAGAGGATGAGATGATTAGATGGCATCGCTGACTCAATGGCCATGAATTTGAGCAAGCTCCGGGAGTTGGTGACGAACAGGGAAGACTGGCATGCTGCAGTTCATAGGGTCACAAAGAGTCGGACGTGACTGAGCAACTGAACTGCACTGAATTGATGTCTCCAGTGAGTCTAGACGATAACTTTCCCCCGCTGCCCACCCCCATGGCTCCCAATTAGCAACGAGGGCCCCTAACTGGCTTCAGGTCAGTAGAAGGAAGCCTGGAAAAGTTAATGCCAACTTGTCCTTGGTGGACACGCTGCAGTGGGAGGAAAAATCAAACTCCAAACACAAACGCTGTTTACCTCATAGGAATCACCTGAGGAACAGAGGACATCAGGGTCTGAACACACTTTGAGCGTCTGAAAGTACTCTAGCCTGACGAGGTCAGTCTTATCACGAGAAGATGCCAGTCAGTGTCCACAAGGTGGTAATCAAGCCTGAGATGGCTCTCAGTTCAGTTCAGTTCAGTCAGTCGTGTCTGACTCTTTGTGACCGCATGAACTGCAGCATGCCAGGCCTCCCTGTCCATCACCAGCTCCCAGAGTCCACCCAAACCCATGTCCATCGAGTTGGTGATGCCATACAACCATCTCATCCTCTGTCATCCCCTTCTCCCCCTGCCCTCAGTCCTTCCCAGCATCAGGGTCTTTTCCAATGAGTCAGCTCTTCGCATCACATGGCCAAAGTATTGGCATTTCAGCTTCATTCATGCTTCCAATGAACACCCAGGACTGATCTCCTTTAGGATGGGCTGGTTGGATCTCNGGAGCGGAGGCTTCTCAGCCCAGCATCTGAGCACTTGTACTTAAGCCTGTTTCGGGTATCTACGTTGGATTGTCCATTTGACCCCCTCAAGTCCTTTCCAGGGCCTCAACCTGCAGTTGGTCGCTGTCTCTAAGTGCTACCTCCTTCCTGTTATTGAGTATTTACTGCCTGCCAGGCTTCCCAGGATTGGAGCAGAAAATGACAACCCACTCCAGTACTCTTGCCTGGAAAATCCCATGGAGCCTGGTAGGCTGCAGTCCATGGGGTCACAAAGAGTCGGACACGACTGTGCAACTTCACTTTCACTTTTCACTTTCATGCACTGGAGAAGGAAATGGCAGCCCACTCCAGTGTTCTTGCCTGGAGAATTCCAGGGACGGAGGAGCCTGGTGGGCTGCCGTCTATGGGGTTGCAGAGTCGGACACGACTGAAGCGACTTAGCAGCAGCAGCAGCAGCAGGTTTCCCAGGTAGCTCAGTGGTAAAGAACCTGCCTGGAATGCTGGAGATGCAAGTTCAATCCCTGGGTCAGGAAGATCCCCTGGAGAAGGAAATGGCAACCTATTCCAGTATTCTTGCCTTGAGAATCCCATGGACAGAGGAGCCTGGTGGGCTAGAGTCCATGGTGTTGCAAAGAGCCGGACATGACTGGTGACTAAACAACAACAAGCTTCCTTACAGATACGTTTTCTATAAACTGCAACCCCATGAGGAAGAGATTATTATTCCTCTTTGGGTGATGGTTTAGTTGCTAAGTTGTGTCTGACTCCAGGGACCTCATGAACTGCAGTCCGCCAGACTCCTCTGGTCCATGGGATTCTCCAGGCAAGAATACTGGCTATTTCCTTGCCATCTCCTTCTCCAGGGGATCTTGCCAACCCAGGGATCGGACCTGGGTCTCCTGGGCTACAGGTGGTCTCCTGCATTGCAGGCAGATTCTTTACTGACTGAGCCACCAGGGAAGGCTTTTTTCCTCTTTCACAGATACATAAACTTGCCCAAGATCACAGAGCTAATTGGAGGGAACGCTGGGATTTGAATACTGTCAGGCTGATCCCAGAGCCCACCCTGTTACCTTCTCTGCCACAGGCCTTCCTGACCACGGTCATTGAGACTTCAAAGTGAGCCTAGGACATGTCTAACATACTCTATCCACTGACCTTGCTCCTCCGAGGAGCAGGAAGAGAAACTGATGGCCCTAAAGGGGGCTGTTCCCACAGGAACCCACCAGCACCAAACAGGGATGTTTGAGTGTGCTGTCTGACACTTAATTAGGCAGTAATGTTGTATTTTATTTCAGCAGGTAAAGAAAGAAAGGCTTCCTTAGCCATTTTCAATAGTCAGCCAACTGAACTCCCCCGTAACTTACCTCACAGATGAAACTATAAATTATCACTGCGCCTGCAGTTACTTTTCCATTTCAGTCTCCAAAATATCTGCTTATATATTCATCTTTGATAAGTGCATCTATTCAGCCTGGTTGGATATGACTTGAAAGGGTAGCATAGGTGGAAGTATTAATAAAAATGTTTTAGAAACAAGATAAGGAGCCTACTTTTCCATTACTGTCCCTTCTAATTTGTCCTCCAGCAACATTGAAGGCAAGTGGATCAGTGTTTTAAAAATGAAGCTGAGGTTAGAGTTCTCCAACAGGTAGTTGGATAAAAATGACTTCAAAGCATGGTCTATACATTTGTGAAATGCAAATTCCCTTTCAGATAAAAATCCTCTGCTCTTCCTTTGTGTTTCTTTGAGCACGGTGTTTCTTACTTATTTTATTTTTCAGAAAAGTTTCACAATCCAACAAAAAGAGGATGACTTAAATTCTTGGATTTTGGTTAACTAGGTATTAATTAATGGAGCCAATCTTTTCCAACAAAAAGGCAATTGTGAGGATATCTTTAAATTTAAAAAATAATTATAAATCTTCCTAGAATTTTATAGAAGTGGTTATTAGCCTAATTTTTAAACTGATAAATAAATTGGAGACTTTTCTTTTTAATCTATAGGTATTATTTGTTGCTGTCTGCTGTTTAGTCACTGAGTCATGTCTGACTCTTTGCGACCCCATGGACTGTAGCCCACCAGATTCCTCTGTGATTCTCCAGGCAAGAATACTGGAGTGGGTTGCCATTTCCTGCTCCAGGGGATCTTTCCAACCCAGGGATTGAACTTGCATCTCCTGCATTGGCAGGGGAATTCTTTACAACTGAGCCACCAGGGAAACCCGTTTAATAAGAGGGTCTAGAATCTTAAATCAAATCCCATCTCTGTCATATACTAACTCTATGACCTTGGGAAAGTTATTTCACTTGACAAAGGTTTAGTTTCCCCCTCTGTAAAAATGGGGGAAATAATAGTACTGCACCATGCTTATCATATGGTGTTGTTGTTGTTGTTTACTAGCTAAGTTGCCTGTGATTCTTTGCGACCCCGTGGACTGTAGACCACCAGGCTGCTCTGTCCGTGGGATTTCCCAGGCAAGAACACTGGAGTGGGTTGCCATTTCCTCCTCCAGGGGATGCTTACCACAGTCTCTGGCATATAGCAATGCCTCTGTGAATGCCAGCTATTCGTAGGTAGAGGGTAAAAAAATCTGCCTGAGTTATAGGCCCCCAAGCTAAAGCAGAACACCTATCCGTACTCACACCCCCATCTCCTGTGCTATCTGATCACCTACTGTGTCCTAAGAGGAATATTTGCCCATGCCGAAACTTCTGCTGAGAGCTGATTTTATTTTCAGCTAAGTACTCTGAAAGGAGAAATTGAAAAGCAAAACCCTCCCACACACTGGACATAGCTGCTGACAACCTTAAAGGAAATATAAGTAAATAAATGTAAACACACATGACAAATATTGTACAGGACATATGCTGTATAAATATTTATAGCAATATGCTTTGCATTCCTGAATACACTCTGCCCGCCCTCTGGAGACCAATTTACGGGTAAGGCTTTCCACCAGAATGTCTGGCTGAGCACTGGCGAGTTAGATTAAGTGTTGGCAATGTCTGTTTTGAGGACATTCTGTGTCTTCACACCAGCCCAAGGCTCTGTACTGTTCCTTTTTTCTGCCATGTGTTTTCCCTGAAAAACTAGCTCAGGTTGCAATGAGAACAGCATTTTGACTGCAAAAAGCTAACATATAAACTAAAGCCTAGCAAGAAAGGAGTAAGAAGAGGTCATGAAAGGAAAGGGACAGACACTGAAAAGCCAACTGCTTTGCCGTAAAGAAATAACAACACACCAGGGCTTATTATGGGCTACCAGGCCAGCCAAACTCTAAAGGTGTATATCACGCTACTCAGCACCACCCCTGAAGGCACCCGGCATTTAGAGAGCAGGATCAAGAATGGAAAAAGCAAATCTTTACGAGCAGAGGCACCCGAGGAGGGCCCTGTCACCCAGAGCAACAGCAGGGTCCCTTACAGGCAGCGTTTTGCCGTCCTCCGCACACACACACATGATCACTTCCACGTTCCTCTGTGTGGTCTTGTTGTACTTGTCAAAGTCGCCTTGTAAGAGAGTGATGTAGATGTCATTCCTGACGTCCCCTGAGGCAGAGGGAGAGAGACGAGAATTGGAGTCTGTGCAGCAGGAGGGATGTCAAACAGAGGGCGCGGGGAGTGGGGGGTTGGTGGAACTGCCCCACCTTGATGTCTGTTAATGACACTAAAATCAGAACTACTTGGAAAAGCATTTTTGCTTCATCAGGGAGACTGGAGCAGTAGGTGACAAGAGGATGGAGGAACAGTAGGAAATCAGTTGCAAAAGGGGAGGTGGTCACAATTGGCCATGTTTTTCTCTCCATTAAAAATCATTTAATTTTCATCCTCTAGTGACACCTTCTGGGAAGGCGAAGTAAAGCTTCAGTTGGATTGATCTTGGTGCATGAATAACAACCACGGACAGTTCTCTCCATGGGTCTTTTACTGTGCAGAAGGAGACAGAGTGACTTTCCACATGTGTCCAAGTAACACGGACAGGGTGAGGGACAAGGTAGGGAGGGGCTTCAGGAATTAAGGGGGTGGTGATAATTGAAAACCCTGCAGGGAATGTACAGGAACTGATGTCTTAGTAAAGACAGGCATAAATAAAATATGACTCCAGTGGACCACAGGTCAGCTGTGGAAAGAAGGGGTTAGTCGGTGAAAGCGGTCATGGATGCAAGTACTAGACTCAAGTTTAAGGCAAATAGGCAAGTTTCAAAAGAGTATTATTATAGAATCTCATTTACTTTTTTTTTTATTATATACACATTTGGAAACTACATATAGTCGTGGTTACTTTTGGAGACAAAAGATTTAAGAGAGCTTTTACTGTTTCACTGTATTCCTTTTTCATGTTTTTGGACACTTTACTTTTTTATTTCTGTAATAAAAAAATAGCTTAACAATTTAAGAAAATGACCATATTCACCCCCAGAAAGAGTGAAATTATTTCACATGAAGTAAAGTGGATGTCCATGGTAAATTATTAAGTGATAAGTCAGTCACAGAACACTGTGCAGAGTATATCAAGTAATGGGACAGAAAGTATATAAAGTGTGATTCCATTTGTGAGGAGAAGTGCATGTGTATATATTCATGTATTTATGTTTATAATGTAAATGCATATATTTTTTGATATACAGATGTTTTCAGCAGGGAAAGAAATAGAGAAAAGCAGTAGAAAGGAAAGGAGCTGGCTGTTGAAAGACAAAATGGATCAGGGAACCTAGACCCCCCCTCGACCCCTCCCGGCGGAAGGAGAACCTGGCATGATGATCTCTGGGAATCCCAGCTTCCTGGCCACCACGGTGGTCCTGTCCACGAGGTGTGGGTAGTCCTTGCGGATCTGAATGATGTCACCCACGAGCATCTTCATGGTCACCCAGAGGCCTGGAAGGGAGCACTCAAGATGAAGAGCCAACTTCAAGGTGCTCTCTCAGCCTCTCCCTCCCATGGTCTCTCCCCGGAGGAGATCGTGGAAGCAGAGACAAGTGGCCACAGATGCAATGACCCAGCCCTGGGGGAGGACGGAAGTTGGGATGCAAAGAGCTCTGGAGTGAGACACCTCTGATTTGAATCCCACCAGTTACTTCTAGAGGGCCAGCTTCTGTCACTTCATCATACCCCTCTCAACCCAACCTGTGTAAAGTGGGCTTGATCCCACCTATCTTATAGGACTGTAGGAAGGAGGGAAGCAAACAAGGAAACATTTCAGTGCCTGACACACAGGAGAGAGTCAGGATGCACCAATTCCTCTCTCCCTTCCAGCACAAGGACAGGTCTCCTTTCTGTTTCTCGGGCAGAGATTTCCATCTCTGTAGATCACGAGACACTACTCTTCACAATGGCCTGTCTGGAAGGAAGGCTATGTCTCCCAGAGTCTAGGGGTTTGATCTGGTTGCTGTAGAACCAAGGGAGCCCAAGTTGAAGTCAGGTCCAGCCTGTTTGGCCAGCAGGCACTGTACCTTGCCCTCCGCTGTCCCCCTTGGAGGCGGTGACTTTGCCCAGCAGGGTGTGCAGGAAGTCATTCTCAGCTGTCACCCTAGACAGGAAAAGAGAGCACAAAGTGCTTGCATGATACCCTCACAGGCTCCCCCCTTGTGATTTCAGGGGCTCCAGAAAGTTGCCCAGCCGTTCTACACACCTTAGGTGAAAAGGGAGCCTGCCTGTGTCAGCTCAGAGGGTATGTGCCATCAAGAAGCACATCTCTCTTTCACAAAGCAATATGGCCCTGAAACTTGGAGAATACCTAGGCTACAAAGTAGAGGCCATTTGTATTCCTAGGAAGATTCTTAAAAAGAAAGGATCCCCAAGCCCTCAAAGTGCATATCTGCTCAGCAATGTGGCAAAGCTTTAGCTGCTCATGCTAAGTCCTAATCACATGCTAAATCCAAGTCACTGACCTCATTATCTGTTAAAAAAAAATCCTCCTTAAACAAATGAGGACAATATTCTCAAACTTGGGGTCTTATTCTCAAAGTTTTTTAGATCAAGGAAAGGACGTTTACCTTCCTCGCTGCCTCCTTTCAAGGCATGGACATTTGTGCCCATGAGGATGAGGTCCTGATTCCCTGTCATAGGCCCTGATATGCTGCTGCTTCATGGTCCCGGCCACATTTGCACTTGATGCACTGACCTGTTGTCACCTACCCATTTAATTCCCCACCGAAATATAAGCTGCATGAAAATAGCCACGTCGACCTTGTTCACCACCACATGCTCTACGCCTAGCAAGTGCCCAGCTCTCTGCCAGCTTTCAATCAAAGCTTGTTAAATAAATAACATCTGATGAATGAACAGGTTAAAAGCTGGATGGATTTGAATGCCTAGGCACTGAGACCATCATTCTTACCCTTTCCTCTTGGAAGGTCCTAACTGGCTATTATCAACTCAAGGAACCAGTTCATCCTGCTTCTGAGTGGCCCTCAATCAGGAAAAATGTGGTTTCAGAGAATAGAAAGTAATGGGAAATCACTCACGGGTGAAAAGGAATGAAGTGCTGCTTTTCCTCATCACTTTCCGCTTTCCCCTTGATGATGTCTGTTATATCCATAACTAGAAAGAGAAGAGAAATGACTTAATGGTTTAAGCCCTCCCGCCCCCAGGAAGGGATGACAATGGGATGAGATAGTAGGGCAGGAAGCTGGGACAGGAAAACTTAAAAAGGCAGGAAAGCCAGCATCAGCCACCTGGCAAACGCCTTTGGGTAAGCTGGGCTGGAAGGATGGCACCCAGAGAAATGTTTAAGAGCCAGAGGCTTAGCAGAGGCCTAGGGGAAAGAGTCAGAGCCACGCCCATGGAACTAAGCAATTAGGTTTGCTTCTGACATGTTTCTATTAAAGGTCTACTATACTGACAAAATCCAAGCACAGTGACTCCCTGTAGGATCTGAAGAGCTAATCACCCTCTTATAAACGTGCTCATATTCACAGACACGTATCTGGGGATCCTTGAACCCTACATTTCCAGAGGGATCCTGGATCTTCTGAAACTTCTCCTTAAATCAGCCACTGAAGGTCCATAAAACCAAGGTAAAGAACTCTTTCCCCAGAGCAGGGATTATAGAAATGGGGGCAGGGGGAAGAGCATTGAGACTTGCTAGCCAAATAGGGCCAAAATCCTAGTAACAAGAAATTCCTCAAACACTCCAGGCCCCCATCAGGGAGCCATTAAAACTGCCTGGGTAATGATCAACTAGTGACTGTATCTAGATCAAAAGAGGAGTTAGGGAGCTGAGAGAAAGAGGGGAAACTGTTATTTGAACCTGATCAGCATCCATTCTTTCTGATAAACAGACACTCCCCTCACCTATTCTCAGTGAGCTATATTTGGGTAGAACAATCTCCCTCTGGCTCCAGAGTTAGAGCCTGGGGGATCAAGGAACCAAATCCCCTTGCCCAGAAAACTACTTTGGGGATGAGCAAATGACATATATTTTGGCTCCTGGGGCTTCTCCTGAAACTAATGGAAAAGAAGTGCTCTCTTTCCCCTGGGCTGCTAAGCACGTAGGATGCAAACTTGGAAGAGCTAGCCAACTAATTGGACAGCCACCTTCAGAATAAGTCAGCAAAACGACACAGGAGCTGAGAGATAGAGAGATGAAAATTCATTTGAGTTCCTGGATCCAGCAATGCCTGAAGCAATCTATCCCTAAATCTTTCATTTACACCAGATTGCAGTCACTGGAAACCAGAAGAGAAGGCTAGCTATAGCTGGAGACAAAGACACACTTTACAGTAAGGCCCTCGCTGCTTTAACACGCAGGTAGTGAGGTCAGGAGTATCCCGCATGCAGAAGCAGAGCATTTAGAGCAGGTCGTGGATCCACCAGGTCCAAGTCCCTCATTTTGCAGATAAGGAAAATAAGGCCCTGGGGGAAAAGCTTGTCCAAGATCACCTATCTAGCTAGCTGGCAATAATGCCAGTTTAAATACCAGTTAGCTCAGGGTAAGCTCATTTCTCCCGTTCTGCCACTTGGCAAGAAGTGCCAGGGGACTTGTTGGAGAACCAGCTGATTTGTCATGACAGAAGATCTGGGTGTCCTCAGGAGAAACCTGAGACATTGGGTTTAGATATGGCATACAGGGATTATAAATGTTACACAACTAAAATGTTGTATTTTAACCAAAAGAAGTAAAACTGGCATACAGAATTGCTATTTCCATGGGTGTCTAAATTGCCTTTTAAGGAAAAAAAATGTACTTTAGCTTAAATAAAGTGAGTTAATTAAAAGAAAATATATTAGGTAAATAATATGGCAAGTGATAGTCAAATACAATAAAAGCCATAAAATTGGGACAAGAGTAATGAAGTCTTGGAAACTCCCAGGAGAGCTGAAGCTTGGAGAGAAATGCAGGGGTGATGTTTATCTCAAGCAGCCTCACTCGGTTGTGCCAAACGTCCACGTCCACCTGGACCTGAGCTGTGTGGTTGGTGACTCATCCTGTGTAACTGCACTTCCTGTCCTGGGTTGGTTTTTTTTTTAAAGATGATTTGTTCCTCATGATTAGATCCCGCCCGTATTGTTCTTCCTTTTCCACCATGCTTGGGAGCGAAGATGCCAATGGCTCAGACAGCTCCGTGGTCCCAGCTCTGCTCCAGATGTGGGGATTTCATTATTCACCATCTTTGTCATGATTCTGGACTTAGTCATTAATTACTTTGATTTAATCTCAAGAAATTTAAGTATTAGGGGCTGTCTGGCGTAGGTTTTTGAGCAAGGGAGGGCAAGGAGGAGAGCGAAAGAAAACATCTGTGAAGTGCACTGCCCTCGGACGCGCGCCCCAGGAACAGGAGGTGCTGTGTGCGTGCCCTTACCTGCCACCCCAAAGGGCCGCCTCAGTCCCTGTGTGCACTTCTTTGTGTTCGTGTCCTTAAGGTCCATCTTCCCAACTCGGACTATTTGACAGATTAAGTAAATTTTGTCCCTGTTGAGGTCTTTGTTTCCAAGATCCTGTAGGTCAGGAAGTGAATAGTTACATATTGTGTCTGATGAACAAAAAGTAGAAAAGAAAACCTAGTAATAGAGAATTCGGGAAGGGGGCTATCTTTTGCACTTAGTATATGTGACATAATTGTATCATACAATTAGTCCTGGAAAATGTGGAAAACCAAGCTATCACATCCATTTCACACATAAGAAAGGTGAGTTTTGGAAAAGAAACTGGTGACAGGACTCTGGTGTTCAGTCCCGATTCTTCCACCTCAAATAGATGAGAAAAGGAGGAGAGAGGTGCAATGCCAGCTATACAGACAGCAGTTCCTACATGCCAGTGGATGGATCCAAAAATAGCATCAGCTACAAATGACTCCATCATGCTCAGCGTCTCTGAGGGAGAAGGCAGAAGGGAGAAGGGAAAACCCTAACAATTGCTACTTGCATGCGTGCTCAGTTGCTCAGTCGAGCCCGACTCTTTTGCGACCCACAGACTGGAGCCCAATAGGCTGCTCTGTCCATGGGATTCTCTAGGCAAGAATACTGGAGTGGGTTGCCATTCCCTTCCCCAGAGGATCTTCCTGACTAGCTACCCACTCCAGTATTCCTGGGCTTCCCTGGTGGCTCAGATGGTAAAGAATCTGCCTGTAATGTGGGAGACCTGGTTTGATCCATGGACTGGGAAGATCCCCTGGAGAAGGGAAAGGTTACCCACTCCAGTATTCTGGCCTAGAGAATTCCATGGACTATATAGTCCATGGGATCCCAAAGAGTCGGACACGACTGAGTGACTTTCACTTTACTTTATTTAATGTATGTAAATCACCCAGGCATCAAATGACCCCAAGATCCCAGAGTTTCTAACACAACAGAGTTGACTCCAGCTCAGGCTACAGGTCCAGTACAGACGGGCAGGGACTCCATGCACTCACTTACTCTGGGCCCTGGCTGAAGGACGACCTATGTTTCACAATAGGTGTATCTACTATCCCCAGAGCATGGGAAGGGACTGTGGCAAGACACTTACCGGTTCTTAAAACTTCCACCCAAAAGAGAGGCATATCACTTCCACTCCTGTTTCACTGGCCAAAGCAAGGGCCATGGCCATACCTAACTGCAAGGGGACAGAGAAGTGTACTGAACTGTGTGCTCAGAAGGAGGAATGCAGAAGCTGTGAACACACAGATGTCTCAAACTCCGTGAGAAGGGTTTCACACGTCGTTGTCTTCTTTGAGTCTTAACAGCTCTCCAAATTTCTATCATGAATACTATTTGTTGTTTAGATGCTCAGTCATGTCCAACCGTTTGTGACCGCATGGACTGTAGCCCACCAGGCTCCTCTGTTCATGGGATTCTCCAGGCAAAAATACTGAAGTGGGTTGCCATTTCCTCCTCAAGGGGATCTTCCTGATCCAGGGATCAAACCCACATCTCCTATACTGGCAGACGGATTCTTTACCACTGTGAGCCATGAGGAAAGTCCAATACTATTGCTGTAGCCCAATTCAACATATAAGGAAACCAACACACAAGGAAGATAAAGGTTTTCCCCCAGGACATGACCTTAGTCCTTAGAGACACTGTCTGGTCACTTTGACCCCAAAGTCCGTCAATCGAAATGCCACAGTGTTTCTCCATTAACCCAGATGTTTTATCATTGGTGCTGTATGTATGGAGAAGTCTTGAGGCTACTGTAAGAATAAGACTGAAAACCAGAGGCAAGAGGCTAAGTCCAAAATCTGAGAACACCAGAGAACTCCTGACTCCAGGGAACATTAATTGATAAGAGCTCATCCAAAAATCTCCATACCAGCACTGAAACCAAGCTTTACCCATGATCCAACAAGTTCCAGAGCAAGACATACCACGCAAATTCTCTAGCAATGCAGGAACATAGCCCTGAGCTTTAATATACAGGCTGCCCAAAGTCACACCAAACCCATAGACCTCTCAAAACTCACTACTGGACACTTCATTGCACTCCAGAGAGAAGAAATCCAGCTCCACCCACCAGAACACTGACGCAAGCTTCCCTAACCAGGAAACCTTGACAAGCTACTCGTCCAACCCCACCCACAGGGAGGAACCTCCACAATAAAGAGGAACCACAGACTGCCAGAATACAGAAAGGCCACCCCAAACACAGCAATCTAAACAAGATGAAAAGGCAGAGAAATACTCAGCAGGTAAAGGAACAGGATAAATGCCCACCAAACCAAATAAAAGAGGAGGAAATAGGGAGTCTACATGAAAAAGAATTCAGAATAATGATAGCAAAAATGACCCAAAATCTAAACGCCACAATGCCTTTCTTTCACCATCCAAAGGTGCACCGGAGGGAAACCCACCTGCACCACCCCAGCATTCCAGCGGCCTGCTCAAATCTGAAAGCTTCAGTGTTCCGGAGCCCCTCTTCCAGCTGAGATTCAGCTGGAGAAGGAGAGTTGAGGCACGTTGTTGGCATCAGAGCAGAGATCCCCGGTTCTGGCTTCACTAGAGAAGGGTTACTTCTGTTCCAAGTTAATTTTCATGCAGGCATATGTTTGGGAACAGCCTGTCTGCTGACATCAGAGCCAGGGCCTGGTAAAGCAGTCATCCCCGGCTTCTCACTATGGCTGGTGTGGGATAAAGAGGGACAGACATACAGCATTTCTGGGAACAAGACATGGCCTCAACATGGCCCACACTTCCTGCTTGGGGGCTGTCACACGGTTACATTTTATGTGTCAACACATAAACGGATAACACATAACGGATAGGCTATGCTGCCTAGCTGCTTGGTCAAACACTAGACTGGATCTATGATGCATTTTGTAGGTCTGATTAGTATCTAAAATCAGTTGACTTTAAGCAAAGGGCATTTCCTTCCATGATGGAAATGGGCCTCATCTAATCAGTTGAAGGTCTTAAGAGCAAAACTTGAGGTTTCCCAGAGAAGAAGGAAGTCTGCCTCAAGACACTGCAATGTACAAATCCCCCCCCGAGCTTTCAGACTGCTGTCCGGCCCTACCGATTTCAGACCTGTGAGCCCCTCACAGTCACATGAGCCAAATTCTTAAAATAAATTACGTATTTATGTATCTTATTGGTTTCATTTCCCTGGAAAACCCTTCACTGACACAAGGTCTGGCCTCTCACAGCTGGAAGAATAGACTCTCCCGAGTCTCCCACTGGGAGGACAGAGAAGGACGGGACAGGGGGCTTTCCAACCACAGAAGCCCCTCCCCTCACTCGCATTTCTTGCCTTGCTCAGGAGGCACCTGAGTTTCAGCTGCCAGTCATCTCACAGCCAGCCAGTGGGACAGCCTCTTCTCTGGCCTGTCTGGCGCCTTCCTCCAACTCACCCTGAAATCCCCCTGAAATTCATCTTTAGAGGCCATGTTCATTATTTCATTTCTCTCCCCGATACAATGGTAATAGCTCTCTATTTCTTACCCTGTTAGTGTTCATTTTCCCCAGCTGATGTGAAAGGTCCTAGACATAATATATTTCCAGCTATCCTATCCCACTGATTCCCCGCTATTCTCTGCATGCAAGTACTCTATTTTTGTCACAGAGATTTCTTTATCGCTCCACAAACACACAATGCTCACTTTCAACTCTAGATCTTTCTTCCTAAGCCCCCCGTCTGTACCTCTGCCTCTAAAGATTACCTCTTATTCCTCTATATATCCACATCCTTCCCATTCTTGAAAGCTCAGGTCCTGTTTCCCTCATAATGATCTCCATCCTTAATTACTTCTCCCCTCCCATGAGGAATTTTTTATATTTTGAAATATCTATGTTGGTATCTTTCAGAGTCATTTCAGAGCCACAGAATCCCTGTCACCTGACAGGTCCCTTCCTAAATGTTACAGGATGAATTGTGCCACCCCACCCCCACCCACCACCAAACTCTTACGTTGACCTCGCATGTCTCAGAACATGACTGTGTTTGGAGACAGGGAGGTCAGAGAGGTGATTAAGCTAAAATGAGGTAATTAGGGTAGGCACTAATCCAATAAGATTGGTGTCCTTCTAAGGAGCCTGGGACACACACACAGAAGAACGAGCGAACACTCAAGGAGAATGTGGTCATGTGTAAGCCAAGGGGAGAAGCCTCCAAAGAAACCAACACTGTCAGCACCTAGGTCTTGGACTTCCAGGCACTGGAACTGTGGGAAACTGAATTCCTATTGTTTCAACAAAAACACCACCCAGTGTGGATGTGACTGGTGACAGAAGTAAACTCCGATGCTATAAAGAGCAATATTGCATAGCAACCTGGAATGTTAGGTCCAGGAATCAAGGCAAACGAAGCGATCAAACAGGAGATGGCAAGAGTGAAAATCGACATTTGAGGAATCGGCCAACTAAAATGGACTGGAATGGGTGAATTTAACCCAGATGACCATTATATCTACTACAGGGAGCAAGAATCCTTTAGAAGAAATGGAGTAGCCATCACGGTCAACAAAAGAGTCCGAAATGCAGTACTTGGATACAATCTCAAAAATGACAGAATGATCTCTGTTCATTTCCAAGGCATACCATTCAATATCACAGTAATCCAACTCTAAGCCCCAACCAGTAATGCTGAAGAAGCTGAAGTTGAATGGTTCTATGAAGACCTACAAGACATTCTAGAACTCACACCCAAAAAAGATGTCCTTTTCATTACAGGGGACTGAAATGCAAAAGTAGGAAGTCAAGAAATACCTGGAGTAACAGGAAAATTTGGCCTTGAAATACAGAATGAAGCAGGGCAAAGGCTAATAGAGTTTTGCCAA